GATGTGAAGTGAGATTTATTCTTCGGCCAAATTTCTTCCCACACTCCAAGCATTTATATGGCTTCTCTCCTGTGTGTATTCTTTGGTGTAAAGTTAGATCTGACTTGGCAGTGAAGCTCATTCCACAGTCAAAGCATATATATGGCTTCTCCCCTGTGTGGATTCTCTGATGTCTCATAAGGCTTGATTTAACACAAAAGCTCATGCTACATTCGGAGCATTTATATGGTTTCTCCCCTGTGTGGATTTTTTGATGGCATGCAAGGCTTGTGCTTGAACTGAAGCACCTTCCACACTCAAGGCAGATGTATGGTTTTTCTCCTGTGTGGATTCTTTGATGTCTTATCAAGTGTGTGCTCCAGTTGAAGCTCTTCCAACACTCAGTGCATTTGTATGGTTTATCCCCTCTGTGAATTATCTGATGTCTAACAAGATTGGTGCTCCAACTGAAGCTCTTTCCACACTCCAAACAGGTATATGGCTTCTCCCCTGTGTGTGTTCGTTTATGTCCCTCCAGGTTTAATTCAGTGCTGAAGGAGCTTCCACACACAGGGCACTTATATTCTCTCCTTCCATGGATTTTTTCGTTTTGAACTGGGATCGCAAGAGAACTCCCAGATTTATTCCCCTGGGCCTGCGTTCGATTTCCCTCCTCTGTCCCTGAGCAATTTCCAGGCTCCTCTTGCATCTCCAAACGCCTGGATTTTTCTTCGGATACTGCCAAAGACTCTCCTTTGTTCTCACTCTCCTGCCCATCACCTCCTGTAATAAAAAAGGAGAGAAAAGAAAACTGAAGCATGGCGTAGTGGTGAAGAGCACAGGACTGGGATTCAGGCAATCTGGGCTCTAGGCCTCACTAGGCCATGGAGCCAACTGGGAGACTTTGGGTCAGTCCCAGATTCTCAGCCTAACTTACTTCACAGGGTTGTTGTGGGGATACTTGCGAGTGCAGGAGGAGGAAAATTATGTAATCCGCATTGAGTTTGTTGTAAGAAAAAAGTGGGATATAAGTCTAATAAATAAGCAGATGAACCTCTGGTTAAAAAATAAAATTCAGTGCTATGGAGAAGGTCAAGAAATGGGTAGGGTTTGCTCCCTATCCCTTTACAGAGACTTAGGCAAGGAGTACAGGCAGGATTTCGAAGAGGGAGAGGAACTAGAGATCAAATTGCCAACATACGCTGGATCCTGGAGAAAGCTGGGGAGTTCCAGAAAAACATCTGCTTCATTGACTATGCTAAAGCCTTTGATTGTGTAGATCACAATAAATTGTGGCAAGTTCTTAAAGAGATGGGAGTACCAGACCATCTTATTTGTCTCTTGAGAAACCTGTATGCGAATCAAGAAGCAACAGTGAGAACTGGGCACAGAACCACTGATTGGTTCAAAATTGAGAAAGGAGTTTGGCAAGACTGTATACTGTTGCCCTGCCTATTTAACTTATATGCAGAGCACATCATGAGAAAAGCAGGGCTGGATGAATCCCCAGCTGGAATTAAGAGTGCTGGGAGAAATATCAACAACCTCAGAGATGCAGATGATACCACTCTCATGGCAGAAAGTGAAGAGGAACTAAAGAGCCTCTTGATGCGGGTGAAGGAGGAGAGTGCAAAAGTTGGCCTGAAACTCAACATTAAGAAAACTAAGATCATGGCATCAGGTCCTCTCACTTCCTGGCAAATAGATGGGGAAGAAACCAAGGTAGTGACAGATTTCATTTTCCTGGGCTCCAAGATCACTGAGGAAGGGGACTGCAGCCAAGAAATTAAAAGACGCTTGCTCCTGGGGAGGAAAGCTATGGCAAATCTAGACAGCATCCTAAAAAGCAGAGATATCACCCTGCCAACAAAAGTGCGTATAGTCAAGCCTATAGTTTTCCCAGTTGCAATGTATGGCTGTGAAAGCTGGACCATAAGGAGGGCTGAGTGCGAAAGGATTGCGGCCTTTGAATTGTGGTGCTGGAGGAGACTCCTGCGAGTCCCTTGGACCGCAAGGTGATCAAACCAGTCAGAGTCCTAGAGGAGATCAACCCTGACTGCTCCTTAGAAGGCCAGATCCTGAGGATGAAACTCAAACACTTTGGCTACCTAATGAGAAGAAGGGACTCCCTGGAGAAGAGCCTGATGCTGGGAACAATAGATGGCAAAAGAAGGAGGGGACGGCAGAGGATGGGGTGGCTGGATGGAGTCACTGAAACAGTCGGTGTGAGCTTGGGTGGACTCCGGGGGATGATGGAGGACAGGAAGGCCTGCAGGAGCGCTGTCCATGGGGTTGCGATGGGTCCAACGCAACTTCGCGACTAGCAACAACAGGCAAGGAAAGAGACCCTGCCATACGAGAAAGAGCTCTTGCTTGATTTTTG